TGTATATGCGATAGTGAGATCACGAAGGGCGCAATAAAGAGAATTCTCTTTGCGAGAAGATATCATTTGGAAAGACGAATATACCACTCGGAAGGATAGTCACGTAAGAGCGCAAGATGGAGTACGTTTAACGAACTAGGTCGTTGCGTTAAGAGTTTCGTTATATACGTTCCTTTGATTTCGAGGATATAGCAATATGCTGAATTGGCATATCCTCGTGGCACGTACATATGCCCCAATGCTTTTATGTCGAGGAAAGTAGATCGAATCAAGAAACTCTTGTTCGTTACGCGTTCGTCATATCAAAAGACCTCCCTCGTGAGCGTAAATATCTGCTCCGTGCGACAATGTTATATTGGAGGCAATACGGGCCTCAATTATGACTTAATTGGATATTTCGCGTAACGTGCGCTTAAATCAGGACACCTGACGCAGACCTAAATTTTCGTAAGCACATTCGAACCCCCCATAACATCGAGGCGTGTACTAATAATGATACACAGGCATCTCCACTTAGGGGGTTAATTATGTTGATGGCTACCACGGCGCTAACAAGCACTCTCCTATCGGCGTTGCATCCCATTTCAGAAATTTAAATTTACGCGTGCGCTATGTCAGGTTGAAAGCACAGGCTAATTTAAATTAGCACGTTTCGGAAGAGGGGGCAATGCCTACGCATTATCGTGATATTTCGAACGGCGGAATGCCCCTTCGAGGGACCGGCGGGTATATATTGATTACGCATAACGTGTCGAACGGCCACGAGATACGATCGACGAAATGTTACCGCAACCTTGGCCAGCAGCTAATGATCAGTGCGTTCTATCGGGTTCGTTCATGGCGCTGCCATTACCTCCGGCCGGAGGCTGTCGATGTTAACCGGTCGGAATCGATAAATCATGACACGTACGTCGTCGTCAAAAATTTATGCCGCTGCCATAGTAAACGTAACCGGAAATGTTCCCAATATGCGTATGTGTGCGACAGTTAATGATAAACCGCGCGATGAATTAGTCGTTACATCGTTCGCGCATCGATTCCGTACCGTCTATGTTGAACGAATTAATGTATAACATCGGTGACATATAACGTCGATGGTTGGAAGCAAGTATTTTGCAGATTTAATGCAACTATAAAGATCAATTTTAATAAAGCATCAACTATAAGAAAATTGCTTTTCGATATCTATTGAATTACGTAACACTCTGCATTGTAAAAAGATTGATGCAAAACACATAAATTGCATATATATTTTATTAATCGCAGTTCTACATTTTAGAATTTTGTTGATTTTTTTTATTCAATTCAGGAGAATTATTAAAATTTCCTGCAAAGATGAAATGATGAAAAATCTTACCGGAAATATTATATTAAGTTGGGCATTGGAAATTAAGAAAATAGAGTGATGTGAAATTGTTTTTTCAATTGCATTTTCAATTGCATTTTCTTTAATGAAAATGACGGTCAGTAGTGCCAATATTAAAATTAACTGAGAAACAAATATTTGTTATGCTACTTTGAAGGAATGAAGACTGAATGAACTCAATTGGATACTCGATTATCGCGGGCTATCGCTCAACATGCTTAACTGTAGCTGACGTTGATTACAGAAACCGTTCATAATAAGCGAGAGAATATTCAACAGCCGTTCCGTCGGGGAATGATTCGAATTCACGAAAATTATGGTAAGTCGGATCTCTGCCTCTAAGTTACGAGAATGGGAAATTAATTCCTCATTGCGAGGATGGACCCGCGATCCGAAATCGTTAATGGAGAGGATAAACTGATCCATTAATCTCTTCTTCTGATCGTACGTTCTTCTGATCAAGCGTGCGGAGAAACTTGACGAAGAGGCGCGAGAGAAAGAGAGGGAGAAAAAGCGAATGATGGAAGGAGAAGACTCTTTGAATGCCGGAAGTTTTTCCCTCCGACGGAGAGGACGCGATGACTATCCCTCGACTGAGCGAGCCGCGCTCTCATATGGAAACGCGTTACGGCAAGCCAACTTTCGTCGGAACAAGAGAAAGGCAAATATTTAGAGGGCAGTCTAGCATAGGTAGCCGAGATCCGTTCCGCCGTAGGGTGGAACAAACAGCGATGGGCCAGCTTCTCTGTCGTAACAGAGAGAAAAGAGGATAACAACACTCGGTTAGATCCCGGTGCTCAGTGAAGAAGGTCGGGACTTTGCCGTTCGAGATGCCCTTCTTCGGGGCACCTTTTCTCGTTCTATCTCGACCATCGGCCCCATATACGCCACCCTCTCGTCCGCGTGTCTTGTCTTCCGTTTGATCTTTGCTCGCAGTATTTTTTGACGGCGAGTCGAACAATTTGTATGCCATGGTGGTTTTCAATTTACATTTAAATTGGTTGCTTATGGCGTTCTGTCGTCTCGACGGGAGTCGAACCGAGAAGGCAGAGGAGAGGAGGAGAACCACCGCAGCCGCCGCCGTTGCACGGTGTCGGGGAACAGTCAAATACTGAAACGGCCTCGCGAACGTGTGGCGGAACTCTTGCCGGGTTCAATGTACCGGCACCGGTGCTTTTTTGCCGGATACGATCGCCCGCGAGAGAGGAGAGGAGCGAGCAAGCGAGAGGAAAAGCGAGGGAAGGGACAGGATAAAAAGAAGGAGAGAGCCCGCCGCGATGCTTTTCTTGTTCACCCATCCGTTATATCAACATTCCGAATCGCGACTCCCGAAGGTATATGGTAGAATGAGCGAGTGCAAAAGAGGACGAGTCACTCGTCCGCTTCCGCACCGTGAAATTTCGGAAGTTCGGTTCAAGCGACACCTTCGCGTTTTGTTCTTAAGACAAGAACTTCCTTGCATGTCATCCTTTGACGATTATACCGAAACAAGTCCGTCGATCTCTAGAAAGAACACATTCTATGAGAGAATAAATTGAAAAAGATGCAATATTCTCATATGTCAAATTATCGAACGCGATACTAGAATCTTCGAAACTCCTTTTTGATCTTGCACATAGGATTTCGTTTTGAAATCTCACTGCTTCGAGTGCCTTTTCCGAGATCGCTCGACATAGCACGATAGATTAGATTTACGCCAGAATTCTCGAAAAACTTTCCCCTCTCTCCTTCGGCGACGGAGAAGTTTACCATTTGAATGTAAACATAATGAAGCGTACATAGACGCGATATAAATACGCCGGTGAAAGCACGCAGGGTGAAATTCGATACAAGAGTCGTGAGAGCTTTTTTTTTTTATTCCCTTTCAATCTCGCACGTCTCGCAAAAGAGGTTCGCGCGCGGAGCGCTTTTCTTGCTCACCCATCCGTTATATCAACATTCTAAATCGCAAGTCCCGGAGGTATACAACACGCAGCTAAAGGCAACTGTTGATACCTTATAGATTGGAAACTTCGGTGATGCGAGGTAACGCGGAGGTTTTCACTCCCTTTGCTTCATGCATCTCGCCCGAACGGGCCATACATCACTTTATTATCGCGCTGTAATTGTATTTTTTTTTAAACGTTACCCCCGTTGCATCTCACCTCCACATCGTGATTCGACGTGCAATAATTCTCGCTATCGTTTCATCAATAAAAATGTTTCTGCCGGTAATAATAATAATCTATGGCTAAACGTGTTGCACTCATTGTTTTATTGAAATTTGTTGTGAGACGAAGTAAACACTCCATCAACGCGAGGGAACTCGGCACAGCGATAAAAAATAATTCGGGCAAAAGTTCAGTCAGCAACTTTACAAATTTCATTTCGAAGTTCAAAGAGGATTATCCATTGCTTATTGATTATTTTCTTAAATGCATTTGCATAATTTAAAATTTTCTTTTGCTCTGGTGTAAAGTTATCTTTATTGAAGAAACTTGATTTCTTATAGTGATATATATTAATATAATTTTTATTAATCGTAATTTTTAAAAACGTCCCCTTTGTCCCCTTTGTGTAAGAGAAAAAGAATAATTTAATTCATCATGAGAAATTTTATCACTGTATGCAATATATATATATGCGGGTACAAAATTTTATTATGAATAATGAAGTATTAATGTAACAACATCATTCGATAATTAAGCGATTTATGTAAAAAGTTCAAAGTGAGTTGAAACGATACAAATTCAAACAAATGTTTGAATGACATCGTAAATTCTGGAATAAAGGAGTAATAATCTTTTACTTTACTTTGCGTACTATTATAATAACTGCTCTGTGCTCTGATTCGCCTTGTTGGTTATTATTTTTGATAAAAATTAGCATAAATATCATTCTCTGTACTGACATAAAAATTTTCTATAGAAGCCTCAGTCTATTTCTCCTCCATCTATCCGTTATGTCAACATTAATTAAACATCGTGACGATGTAATATGTGGCTCCGTGGGAAAGGAGAGAAAACAGAATATAAGGTTATCTTATCAAATAATATTGTCGTATACTATGTAAACGTAGATAATATCATGCATATTGATATTGTACATTGTTTACATTATCAAAATGTAAAATTTTGCATAATTTACGAGAATGAATTTAACAGATAAAATCAAGTTAAATAATGTTATAATATTTCGATTTTTTTTTCTTAAAATTATAAATGTGCGAATCTAATGTTTTTTTTAATTAGATATATACAATTATTTTTCAAAATTTATACTTTAAAAATTTATTTATATTTTAAAAAATACTATATCCTTCACATATATGTTATACAACGATAGTTTTAAAATTTTGATTGTGCTGCATGTGCATTGAAAGAAACAAAATAGTTGCCATTTTTAACTATATATTTATTATGTTTTCGATGTCAGCTA